AGTTGAAACATTAAAAACATTTCTACCTTAAAATTAAGGTTAAATGTTAAATTGGGTCCCTCAACTTTTACAGTTGCATTTTTTTGGTCCCTTAACAATTTTTTGCACTTTTTTAAACTCTTAACTTTAAAGAATGCACAACATTAGTCCTTCTGTCTGTTAAGCATGACGTGGTTGTTAAATAATATCATGTGACATTTTTGTTTAATTCTTTTGATAATGTGGCAATATCATATATTATAATTATATTACATAAATAAATAAAAATGCCACATCATATTAATATTTGTATTTTAATTAAAAAAATTAAAACAAACAAAATTACCTTATTACCCTCATTCTTCCCCTTCTTTCTTTCTCTTTCTCTTTCTATTTCTTTCTTTCCTACCCACTGAACCCAAATAGAACCCAGCAGTTGGGTTCAATGGAACCCAGATCGACTGGGTTTCGTTGAACCCACTTGTTGGGTTTGATCAAAACCCAGTTGCCTTCCTTCTTCCCCCTTCTTTCTTTCTCTTTCTCTTTCTTTCTTTCTTACCCACCAAACCCAGATAGAACCCAGCAGCTGGGTTTGATGGAACTTAGATCAACTGGGTTTCGTTGAACCCAGCTGTTGGGTTCGGTCGAAACCTAGCTGCCCTCCTTCTTCCTCTTCTTTCTTTCTCTTTCTCTTTCTTTCTTTCCTACCCACCAAACCCAGATAGAATCTAGCACATATTTTTTATCATTTTCGCCAAGTTGTTAGATCCAGAGGCTTCTTGGGACAAGATTCATTGATTTTGAACTTCCTCATCATGGGATTCTCTTCTTTGATTGATTCCTTTTGTTTGACTATATTCCAAGCTTTAGTAATGGGTTTCATTTTCTGCCTGTTTTTGGATATGTTAGTAGTTGCCGTAGAATGGTTGCTTTTGATACTTAATTCATGCTCTTTTCCACGATAATCCACTGATGGGTTCACTAATTTTGTATCAAAATTAGTTTTTGGTAGATAATCATGTGTGAATTGGACTTTTTATTGGTATAATTTAAATTACTAATTTTTTTGTTATTATTATTATTATTATTCTAGGGGTAGGATCAATTGGGAGATGTTTTGCATTGGATTCAACAAGTGGTAGCTCTTGTATGCGGTTTGCTATGGGGTGCAATACCTTTGGTTGAGTATCAACGAATCCAACACAATCGTGCTGGGTATCAACAAAACCCAATATACCTAGCTGTTCAACAAAATCCAGCTTTGTTGATTTACAATTTGATTGTATTTTTGTTAGATTTTGATTGGGATTTAATTGATATTGTTTATTGAGGAATTAATTTGATGGAGTGGAGATGAGAGAGCATTAAGAGAAGAAGAAGAAGAAATGGGTTAAGATCGATTTTGTAGATGAAATGAAGATGAGAGAGCATTATAGAGTTTTTTTTTTTTTTTTTTTTTTTTCAGGTAATGTAAGACCCATTTGAGAGAGATTAAAGTGTTTAAATATGACATGGCATTATGTTTTGGAATGGTGCTATTGGAATAACTTTTTTATCTCACCTTTTCATACAACTTCCACATGTTATTAAAGGAGTGGATGCATTCAATATCATGAGTCTCACATGAATTAAAATAATCAATCATTTTAATGACACGTCAGGTTGTACCAAAAGGTGGGACAAAAAGGTTGTATAAATATCATTTTCCTACGTTTTGGTATTATGTTTTGTCCACGCCAGCACCTTTTTAAGTTGTACTCTCCATGTCATCAAATAAAATATAAAAAATGCCACGTAAATGGAGTTAACGGTTTAAATTGACGGAAAGATTAATGTTGTGCATTTCTTGGAGTTGAGGGATCAAAAAAGTATAAAAAATTGTTAAGGGACCAAAAAAGTGAAACTCTATAAAGTTAAGGGACCAAATTTAGTATTTAACCTAAAATTGAAAATAAAAATGAATAATAATAATAACGCTAGAAGGAGGGCTTGAACCTCCGACCTTGTGGTTAACAGCCACACGCTCTAACCAACTGAGCTATTCCAGCTTCGTTGGATGTTATGACAATACATTAACTTTATACTATTTTACCGTTGTTCTGCTTTGCTTCCTCAACGCCTCAACCGTATGACCGCGGTCTTTTTTTTGAAGGGTGTCCGGTGGTATGCGTATGCATATGCACCACAAAATTGCACACTTTATATTAAGCGCACGAAAAACTTGGTACTTTCAACCCCCTACATTAAGAAAATGAACTCATGAGTCATGATATTGGTGGCTTGGGAAACTTGCACTTTGACCCACCCCACTAACTTCAGTCATGATAGAAGCTGGAGATGGAACAATGAAGAAATCACTGTCCATATCCCAAGACTAAAAGATCTAAAACCAGTTAGCAGATGAAAAGAGAATTAGTAATTGAAACATCCATAACAAAGGTTAGTGTTTTCATGCATAAATCAACTGCAAAAATCAAATTATGAAATACACGAGAAAGTTTTTTGTGCTGCGCAACTTTTTACTCTAGCTTCAAATTTGTACATGCTAATCCCAAGAAAACAATATGGAAAAAAAGAGAACAAAACTCATACAAGATTGTTACAGTATGGTGAGCACCTACTCCTGCCATTCTTAATCTGCAAGAACATCCCCCTGTGGCTGAGAATGATGTTTTTGGCACTGATTTATTATTGAGTGAAGGAGCAAGCTTCAAGCTTGGGAAGAAGACTTCGCCAGGCATTTGCAATACTATTTGCAAGTTGAGACTGTCCCTTTGCAAATTCATGAAAAGCAATTCCCATGTCCAGTGTCTTTTGTTCCTGAAATTGCACAATCTCATCACTCATCCGTCGCACAATTGTCTCAAATCTTCTTGTTGCCTCCTCACTCTCTGCCTTCGACTGCATTGCAAAACTTATATTATTAGTGAAACTGTGAAACATACAAAGCCTTCACCAACAAATAAATTCAAAGATTGAGTTCAATAACTTGCCTCATTGTACTCGATCTCAGCTTCTCCCACCCTATCAGATAGTGCTAACACTAGTTTGCCACTAAGAAAAAATAGATAAAGTAATAGACCCAAATTCAGAGGGTAGAAATGAAACCTAGGAATTTTTTTTTGTGATCAGAAGAGAGAGAGAAGAGAGAGGGTTGGCCAGAACAGAATCATACAGATTTATCTCTTTCAACTTCATTGTTTCTGCCAGTTCTCCCTTTTCCCGGCATGTATTGGCTCTCTCTCTTATTGTGGCCTGTTTTATAACATAGAAGCTAACGTATAAGACCATTGTCTCAAGCTTTAGACATTACATAATACATCAGATGAAAATAATGGCTGCAGCTAATGGCTGCAGCAAGAAACAGAGCTTCCATCAATGATACAACAGTGCCATCCCTTTCCCAGTTCAATGTTTTTGGTATCAATTAGAAAGGCATAAGCATCTTCAGTTTTCAATTCCAAGTATTACCATCTTGGTAAAAAAAAACATAAAGTTTCCTATTATTACTCTTTTGAGAAAATTTTAACCCACCTTAATGGACTGTACAGCACGAACATAATCCTTCAAAGGTTCTTCAAAATTCATCAAGAGTTGATGGGCCTGCAGTCAATGCAGAGAAAGCAATGATGTAATTTGATAATATGAACCACTTATCCTTGGAATTTGGCAACAAAAACTGGTAAGTCAAAATGCTTTGATTTATCTGATGCCTGCCTCTTTCTGCAGCCTGATTGATAATGTCTCAGATTTAGCTCCGAGCTCTGAAAATACTTTTCCAAGAGTATATCCTTCACAAGCACCAAGAAGTTTTGCTACCTTCCCAAAATCTGAAAGGGATTGTCCCAGATCTGTGGAAAAAGAGGTAAACAGAAACATTTTTATGCATTTAAATTAAATGCAAAAGTAGACAAGCAACTCAAATATGTTAGGCAGAGAGTCACACAGAGCCTCCATGATCTTACCTCTGTGTCCCTTTACAAGACGATATGCATGCTTTTGAGCTTCAGCCAAATGGGCTTCAAGCTCAAAGATATAGTGTTTAAGTTTCTCATATTCAGGATTTGATTCTTCAACTGGTTTTTCCTTTCCAAGAATAACATCACTCACTTTCAGTTGCACATCCTGTTAAAATTCTACACCTGTTAAAAGAATCCTCTGTGTGAAGGACAACATACTAGTTTGAGTAGCACCTAACACATGGAAGAAAATTTTCAATGCAAAAGAAAACCCATGGCACTGCATGGTGAAATTAAGATAGCTTATACATCAGCATCACCTATTACAATTTCCATCCAGTTTATCCAGTAGGTAAGAATTAATCCAAAGCTCATAAATTTCATGAGATGTCTAAAATGCACTGCTACATAATAATTGTTCTGTTGACATCATCAATCAGAATTCAGAACTTCAGAATAATAACATGGAGGATTTCTTTATTCCTACCTTGAAGATTTGCATCAGGTCTGCTGGTTTCTTTATAAAAATACCAGTCTCATATGATCGCAGCCTCTGCATTGTCTGAAAAACAGTTAATAAACTAATATAAGATGCTTAAACATCAAATACACAAAGCAATCCGGAATAATATCAAGTTCTGTAGATTTGCATCTATCTAATTGCCTATGAAGAAAGTAATAAGTAATCAAGATCACAATACTTCCTCAAAAACTTCATGGAAAGAAAAAAAACAATCATCTTCATTTATAGGTCTGTGCATGCATCTAATGGCATGCAGGAATGACAACGATTGCATGATTTTTCATTTGAATACATAAAAAAAAAAAAACCATATTCTAAAAGGCAAACATTATTAATGTATCACCTCTTCATCTGACTGCAAAAAGGTTCTAAGATCCTCACTTTGGTGAAGCTCATGATGTGAAGCTATCCGATTCACAAATGAGTTCAAGCCTTGACGTCTCGTCTCAATAAATTCAGCACTGAAGCGAAACTTCTCTGCATGAGAAAGTGTGAAGTTAGGCCCAGCTATTCATAGGACTTGGTTTTAGTGTGCAAATTGCCAAATTTAACAAGAAACAAATTCATAACAGTATCACATAAGCCCAACACATTCTAAACAGACTACAGTTCTGCAAATGGTACAGACAAGAATGATTTTGTGGACCCTAACATCTACAACCTGATGGATGGTAACAATAAATGTTGTAGTTACTCAAATGGTACAGAGAACAATGGTCAGAGCATGGATCCTAGCTCCTGAGTTCCTAACATCCAAAATCTGAAGGATGGTAACAACAAATATGCGAATTAACTTTGAAGAGAGAAAAATACTTCAATTGCAATGAGTATTTCATCATGCTAATAAAATGCAGAGACGGCAACCAACAAAGATGACATTATCAACATTTATGCAAATATTCAAGATCATAAAGATGACATTATCAACATTTAAGACAATTATTCACGTTTGACTGAGTACAGCTTAAAACACGAAGCTTTATTGTGTTTGCTACTACCATATTCTACAAGACATCATACATGAAGAGAAAGTTTACATGTAAAGTACAAACAACCAGGTTCATGCCTTCCAAATGGTTATCATCACATTCATATCAACATCAAACTATTACTTTAAGAGCAGGAAGCTTAGCCAGTTCACTTTTTACCTACAGCACTCTTCTCCGGAAGAGGGGGAATGAAGATGCCTTTATACTTCTCAAAAAGACGACCATGTAACCAGACAAAGTCGCTGTAGCGCCTGATAACAAACTTCTCTGGCCATTGGTATTCAGTGAAATTTGTCTGTCAAACAAGTTAATCCCAAATATTAAATATCACCAAAAAAAAAAAAATGAAAAATGAAAACCCAGCATATCTCCAAATATCAGTCTCAAAAAGAAACAAATCCACATCCTTTTGATTAGAAAAGGCATAAAGGATTCGACAACATGTTCCCTTGCTTGAATAAGTGATAAACTCTTACTAAAAATCATAGTTTAACAATTCTCGTGCAGATGAGTCCAGTCAGTGAAGCTAAATCGATCCAAATTGGAATTGATAATTCAATTTTCAACAATTCAGCAGACAGAACTAGCACATAACTTCTGAAATGAAAAATCGTAGCATGAAAAAGGAAAAACAGTGAAATTCTATCCTTTTTGCTAATCCACTAATCGTCACTATCTCAGTCGTTCCCTTCTAATCCAATTTCACCAAAAGATAAAAGACTAGCTAAAAGCTACAAAATCAAATAACTGCTTATCAAAGCATACTAGAGATCCAAAATCAATTCAAAATCAACAGAATTCTTACTTATTACTTTACTTCTTTCTCCGGAACGGAGAGAGGAAACAAGCTACCTTGGTGATGACGCGATATGATATGTAAGCCTGCACGCCATTGCCTAATTTCACAGGATCAGTAACCGATATCGACAGAAACGGCGGCGACGACGGAGATCTAGGGCTGAGCGACGCCCCGGAGACGCTTCGAGGCTGCTCCATTTGACGTAACCAACCGGAGAATCAAAACAACGGAGATTAGTAACTGAAAAAAGTGAAATCAAACAGTTTATGGAAAGGTGGCAGATTCGTAATTACCAATGGAAATCATGGCCAATTTATTTGCCAACTGACGGAGAAAACGGATTGGACTCCGCTGTTAGTCGTTAAGACTTAAGAGAGACGAGAGTCGGGCGTGGGGTATCACCACTACACTAAAGGACGCCGTGGTGCGGTGTGCGCTACGCCGCCGGCCGTCGATGTCCTGAGGTAGGTGGAGGTTGAACTGGAACGACGACCGCGACAATTAACTCCTCCATTGCACGTAACTGTAATCGCTTCAAGTTTTCCCACTCTTTCATTGACTCTAGACAATTAACAAAATTAATGTTTTTTTAATACATCTTATTGTAAGATATATATAAAAAAATAATAATAATTTTTTTTATTTTTAATTTTTTTCACTTCACCCACAACTTAAATTTAAAATTTTTAAATTAGAGTTTTAAATTTTTAATCATTCAATAAATTTATTAACAAAATAAATGTTGTTGAGTGTTTGCTGATGTGAAAAAACAAAATTAATGCCATTTGGATCAAGAGTTTCTCTTCCTTCGGTTATCTAGTCCAGAGTCCAGACTAACCAGACTAAATACTCTCTTTGCTCAAAACGGTAATTGAAAACGGAAACGCTACGATAACCGTATAACGTGACGTGGGATCTTTAGTTAGCATTTCACATTACTACAATTTTATGCCACTCGTTTATTCGTCGTTTAACATGACAACTAAGCTTCCTTCCGTCGTTCCACCTCAATCGACTCTGCATCTTCAACTCTTCATTGCTTTGTCTTCATCTTGTTAATTCTAAACCTACAGCCTAATCATTAATTAGATCTTCTTCATTGTCGGCGTTCTCATTATCACTATCTAAACCTGGCAAACGGGCGAGTTGGGTTGGATTAGGGTCGGGTCAACTCGAGTGATGGGTTAGACGAGTTGGGTTATAAACGAGTTGCGGGTTGAAAACATCTAACCTTAACCCGACCCTAATGGGTTATGAGTTAACCCGCGGATTAACTTTATTTTATTTTTTATAATTATTTTTTGTTAATTTTATTATACACAAATAAAATTATATATATTTAAATATAATTAACATATTGTGATTCATTAACACTAAATACTTTATAATTTCAATTACAAACATTTAAATTAAGAAAAAAATAAAAAGGTTATAAATAATAATAAATTGATTAATAATAAAAATATTAA